CAGAATGTCTTCTGAGGTGTCCTGCCCATTGGAGTCTTCTGGACTTTATTTCTTTTATGATGTTGGCGTCTGGGTAAAGTTCTTCGAGCTCTTTGTTAGTTCTTATCCTATATTGTCCTGATGCTTCATCTAGCACGGGACCAAAGATCTTCTTAGGATTTTTCTTTCACAAACACATAGTCTCTCTTCGTTTGCCTTTGTTATCGTCCACGTTTCGCTTCCATACATCACAATGGGTATAAGGTTTTGGAGGGCAAAAAGATATCTGTTGCAGGCCTGAATCATGTTATTTATTTCTTGTGATCCGTTATTGTCTTCAGTTATTGTTGTTCCAAGATACTTGAATTCTCTAACGCGCTCAAAGTTAATTCTATTTCTGCTTTGGTTATTGCGGCTCATATACATATATTTCGTCTTGTTTTCGTTGATTTGGAGCCCCATCTTCTCTGCTTCCTTCTCGAACCTCACGAAAGTCTCCTTCATCCTTAATCGTGTGTTTCCTATAAGATCGATATCGTCTGCAAATGCCAGTAGTAAGTTTGGTCCTTCTCGATGAAATAATGTAAGTATTGGGTTTTTCGATTCTTGCACTTCTGATTATGTGCTCCAGAGCTAAGTTGAAGAGTTGTGGTGAAAGTGCATCTCCCTGTTTTAGTCCATTGTTTATTTCAAATGTTTCCAAGTATCCAACGTGTTGTCCAACTCTCACCTTACATCGTAACCGTTCCATACACATCCGTATCAACCTGACTAGTTTTTTTGGAAAGCCAAGTTTCTGCATCGCTGTCCACAGTCTGTCCCTACATACTCTATCAAATGCTTGTTTAAAATGTATGAACATCTGATGAAGCTCACGATCAAACTCCCAGCATTTTTCCATTATCTGTTTTATTGTGAATATCTGGTCAATAGTAGAGCGGCCCGGTCTAAATACACATTGATAATCTCCAACGATTTCTTCTGTGTATGTTTTTGGTCTTTTTAGCAGGATGTTTGCAAGGATTTTGTAGGTGGTGTTTGGGAGTGTTATTCCCCTGTAGTTAATACATTGCTTTTTGTTTCCTTTTTTGTGTATTGGTACAATAACCCCTTCTTTCCATTCATCTGGCATTGTTTCTTCTCGCCAAATGTCTTGAATTAGCTTGTATATAGAACTGTACAACGCTTCTCCTCCATGTTTTAAAAAGTAAAGAAAAATGTTCTGCCTAAGGTCAAGGGCACATATTTGTTTTCCCAGGAAAACTTATCATGTTTGAAAAGCTGAGATATGGTAAAATCATGTTAGAACAATTTGCTATGTTCATATTTTTTTGTTTTTGTTATGTGTTAATATGTAATAATAAATGAAACTTAATGTATCATTGTTCTCATTGAGCTATTCTCATCTAACACCGCCATTATCCCATACCCTGACTGCCATTACCTAACATCATAGGGTAATACCAGTTGATCAGCTGTTTTAATTCTTGTCATGAAAAATAGAAATCATTGGTGCTTTACAAACCCAATTATAAGATAAAATAAACAAATAACAAAGGAACACATTTCAGATGAAACCTCAATAAAAGATGATTTATCACATCACTCACAATACTTTTCCCTTGAGTGACTGTCATTCTCCTGTTCTCCTCTACAATGTCGGAAGAAAGACTGACAGCACTTGCCATGCTGTCCATGAAACAAACATTAATTGGAGAAATTTTCCGCTTTAATAAAAAGGTAATGCAAAGGTCTATTTCCCATAAAAACAGAAGGGCTGAGTTTAATTTTAAGACAGGCTTTTGATAGTACCTATTTATTTTTTTGTATTCTCTTCCCAAATCAGCGCCCCCTGAACAAAATTCTCACCATTACCACTGCTTAAATTCAACTGCTGAATGTTTAAGCAATAATGGCGCAAGTAAATTCCAATAGTGTTAAATTCAGCTCAGATTTGATTTTATTTTATTTAATATTACAACTTTCAAAGGAAGGTACAAAGACATAATTGAAACATTGTTCTGTATTGCCAGAATTGCTCTATTAAAAACCTGTTCTATAAAATGGTGAAGTAAATTCACTGAAATTAGTGCATTAGATAAAATTATGTAGATACAAATATACACATTATATGGTTTCCAGATAGCCAAATATGAATCCTCTTAGATTCATTCAACTATGATTTGCATCACTTTATTGCAAAATGTACAAAACATTTTTTAAAAGCACAAAAATGTCCACAATTATAAATAAAAGGTGATTGCCACTCATACAATCCATACATTATCACCATCCGACTGTTTGTAATTCACTTGTTGTTATATTTAAGTAAATGAGATAAACCAGGCACTTATTAAAATTATGTAAAATATTTATCACATTAACATTGTTATTCTCCCTAGCGGATATAAATAAACTAACAAATATTGAAATTATTCAATGCTTATAATCCTTGGGATACTGTGATAAAAAAAATTATATAAGTATTATAAATAAACAGTGTATAGCAAACTGTTAACATAATTTTCAAATATTTGTCATTTCCTGACAATAGTGTTTACTAACTATATAAAAATATCTATTAAAATATTGTCAACAGAAATAAACATAAGAAACGATTTCTTCATGTTATTACATACAAATCTAGAAGTAGAAAGATCAAAAAACATGAAATAAACAAGAAAATGTACAGTTTAGTAGGGGTGGAAAATAAGTAGACAATATTACCTAATATAGAAGATAAATTGGAGAAAATATAAAAACTGCTAAATTGAATTGTGAAACAACTAACATTGTAAATAGAAACAATATTTAGCGGTTTAACAGTATCAGTAGTTTTGCCATTGTATTTGTTATTTATGTCTCTAGAATCATCTACTGAAAGTGACGATTTGTTTTTTTTTAATACAACACTTATCGTTGTGACACAGGTATTGGATAAATCCTATAGTAAATAAATGAAAAAAATAGGTTAGTTAACGAAATCAAAGATGTCCAAGAAAAGCATCTTCTGACATAAAACTGTGGGTAACCACTTCTCAAGCATGTTTTTTCTTTATTTTATTCGAATATTTACCTTCACCAAATACTTTATTAATAGTTTTTCTAAATTTTCACTTGCTTTGTCCCATTTTCATACATCTTCATCAATTATTAGCTTAGTAAATTCAACTTCAGCATATTTTACCTTCTTCTGCTCTTATCTTTAATTATTTTTTTATTTCTTTATATCTTTTTTAGTTAGAAAATTGATAATAGAGATAATTTTTTATTTAAAGTAGTTTGAAAAACTATTTTATATATAAATGCCGGTATTTAGGTGCCACGCCCTTCCGGTAGGGATCTATGGAGGAGTATCACTGAGACACAAGTCCTTATCTCTTGCCACACTGCTCCACCATAGGCCTATCAGACACCAGCATATTCTAGGCAAAGCCGCAGATTCATTTTAGAATATTAAATTGTTGCATTAGCCTTTTTTATTTTTCTGTACTCCGAGCCACGGCTTGAACCAATATTCATTTAAACATTCGACAGTGAAGCAAATGAGAATCAGGCATCTGGCCCACTTGGTTATCTGAACGACAAAAAAACTATTTTTTACCTTAATAAAAACAAAATAGGACAATAATCGAAACCATATATACAAATACATTCAATAATCTACAGCTAATTATATATTGTATGCTGAGCTTTTTTCAGTGTGCAATATGAAAATAACAAAAGAAAAAGTTGAAGAAATAAAAAAACAATTCAAAGGAAGAAAAGTACTTGGAACAGATATTTTATAATTATTATAAATAGTTTGTAACGAACTGTTACCATAATTTCCAAACATTTCTCATTTACTGCCAATAGTGAATACTACTTGTATCTTATTAAAAGACTGTCAAGAGAAACATAAAAACAAAGTAGAAGATTTTTTTATTTCAGAGGTTGCTTAATATTAGGTGGTGGTACCATAAGAGACATATGACTAGATTGAAAGAAAAAGAGTGGAGGAAAGATTGAGGATGAAGTAAAATATATGAATCTACAGACAAAACTTTGCCATTTCTGTTTAAAATTGTGTGTTCTGTCAACTTCAGAACCAGTTTAATCCAATATTGATGTTCCAAACTTTAAAAATCAAAATCTACTTTTGATGACAAAAAAATGACAATAGGCAATAAGAGTATCACCTTGCAAGAAGAAAAACTAGACTATAATATTAGAAACAAATCAGCATCATACTGACTTACAACCCTGTGTGGGTCCTAGCCTCAAGAATTTCACTCTAGTTGTACTTATCCATGGCCTTCCTCTTCCAAGCACATATTCCCTTATTTCTCATATCTTCATCTGTTTTATCAAGGAACCTAGTACTGGGCTTTCTTCTTCTTGCCCTATTCACATGCTTCCTGATTCCTGATATATTCTATAAAGTTCGAAGTTGTATCTTCTTATCCACACTCTATTGTCATTCACTGCTCCATAGGTTCACCTTAGTACTTTTCTTTCCAAACATCCTAACATATTTTCATTATTGTTGTTAAAGTCCAGGACTTTGAACCATATGTTAGAACTGGGTGTAATACTGTTTTGTAGAGTTGTACTTTTGTATTTCTCTATATAATTGAGGATTTAAGGAGATTGACCCAAAAATATCACCTGATGGTCATGCAATAGGCGAACAAATATAAACAAATCTCCTACGATTTTATTACAGACACAAAAAGGAAGGAAGACAAAACTGATTTTGGTTATCATGGAATAATAATTATACATATGTAATATTCATGCATTGTTATGAATTCTCATAAAAATATTAATTTGGTTTTGTAATACCAATCTACCATGTATACTTCACACCTAATGTCATTTCAAATAAATTATTTAAAATAAATTTATTTGGTGACTGACATGTTTTATTGTCATAAAAAAATCATTGAGAGTGTTAATGATATATTTCCATACATAACATCATTTAACAATAATTTTCGTAGTTCATATTGATTAAATAATTAGAAAAGTCTACTTACAACAGTGCCATTTGTATTTGTGCTATTGTCTGTAACAGGACAATGATCATAAGAGTTATTAGTGAAAACTTGTTGGGTGGTATTGACCATGGCTACAATTGCTACTGATAAGTTAACTCTCATTGCATATACATTGGCAAAGCCTAAAAAGCCCAATATACCTAAAATATGTCGGGCCTTTAAGCAATTTGTGGTATCTTCAACTAAAAAAAGAAATGTCATTACATATTTCCATAACAATTCGTTAAAAAATTACCCTCAGGAGGAAGAATTCTAGTCGTCTCGTCTTCATCTTCATAAATACTTTCAGTATCACTCTCTTCTCCATTGTTTTCGGAATTTTCTTTAGGGACATACATTTTTAATTAAAGCAAAATTTTATTAAATGGAATTTCTCGTTAGTTATAATAAAAGTGACTCATAACTTTTAATATTATGTGATAAAGTTCAAACTTATTGTTTCCATTCGCATATGATTACAAATTTATTATCATCAACAAAGAAATCCAAAAAATAAACTTGTAAATGTGGGTGTCAGTGTCAGGTGTCGCCAGTGTCACTTTCTGACAAAACCGTCCGTCAAAACCTTTTCACAAAACGTCGAATTAGCGGGCAGGCAACTTAAAATGAATGGAAATATTTAATAAAAATCGGTTTCCATAGTAACGCCAATCATATTTGCGTATTTCAAGATGTAGATATTGAATCTAATAATAAAAATATTTAAACAAAACAAATCAGTTAGAAAGAATTTAATTTTTATAAATGATTGTTACATACATATAAAATCTGATAAAAAGAAAGCACTTTGTATTTTACACTTTCAATGAATAACCAATAAAAATGTAGAATTTACATTTTACATTTGATAGGCACTGCTGCCAACGTTTCATATTTTAAAAAGAAATAAACTATTGACATCTTTCACATACATACATCGTTCTGTCTGTACTTTGTAGGCTGGATTAGGTTTTTGGGTACCTATTTATGTAGAGTGCAATTAATGGAGGTTTAAAGTTATATTAAGTAGCTCTTTTTAAATTAGAAAACCATGTCTGATGAAGGTGGTCCTAACGTAAAAAGTCTTCGTGGTTTTCGTTATCAAAAGAAACCGCTACTTACACAAGATGGTCTCAATTCTTGTAAGTTCAAATAATTTCATTGTTTCTAATATTGCAGTATCAGCATATTTATATGTAATTATGTTTGTGTATTTAATGTTTCCGGCATAATATGCTTCGAGTTTGTTTCCGAATATTACTAGATAACCAGTTTTTAATTATTTAAGCTCCGTCATCCGGATCCCCCGTAAGAAGTCGAATTGTACCAGTTTCGTCGGATTCAGATACGGAACCTGAAACCAAAACAACAGACCCTGCGAATACGGCAGAACCCGAAACCAAAACAACAGACCCTGCAAATACGACAGAACCCCCACAAAATAACGCAATTTCTGAAGTGGAAAAATCAGCTGATTCAAGTTTGGCCCAAAAAAGCGATACAGAATCTAATCGAACACAACAGCCAGTGCCAAAGCCAGCCACTCCTGTCCAAGTTGCTAATAACAGCACTGTTACTATGAAATTCAATGGTTACTATACACCAAGAACTACAAAGAATCCTTCAATTCTAGAGAAGGAAAAGCAAATGAAGTTTCTTTTAGAAATATTTCCCAATTTAGATGCTATGGTGAGTGAAAAGACAAATTGTTTCTAACTCCTACTTATTGTAATTATATATTTTTCAACTTAAATAGTATCTGTAATTGGTATTTGTTTCATATTAGTTTATATCTTCTTTTTCTTAAGAAAACAGGATTTTGTTGTAATAATTTATGAAGCTTTAAAAAGGTCCAAATCTTTTTAATTCACTTTTTTACTCCAGCCTTAAATTCTGAGTCAGTTTAATTACATGTATATAATAATATTTGGATGCTCACCTGAGATAGCTGTACATTAGACATAAAGAATGTAAAGTTTTATTAGACATAAAGAATGTAAAGTTTTATGTTTAATGTTACTGCATAGGGACTCAGGTAACCTATTAGGGCTATTATATAGTTTGCTTAGCGAAAACAAAATCTACAAACCATTCAGTAACTTTTTTAACATTTTCTGCACTGTTTCTTTATTATAAAACATGAAGTTACTATACAGTGAAAAGCAAAATAATTTTCTTTTTTAATATGCTTTATTGTGTTTGCTACATAAATAATAGCTAAATAGACTGGTCAGAAGAGGATGTCTGTGACTTAAACTCAGGTATCTGAACCATTTAATTGATATTGGAGTAATGGGATGGATGATACCCTCGGCAGGGAATGTTGGAAGAATGTTTTGAGGCAGGCCAAGACTCACAAAAGGCTGTAGTGCCAACTGATAAATAATGATTTTTAAACCTTTATTTTTGTTAACTTAATATTTATACCTGTTGTATATGTGTGTTTTAGAAAATTCATAACTGTCTTTCAAAACACAGTTTCAATACTGATGCAGCTGCTGCAGAATTATCAAAGTTTTACAATAAACCTGTTGAACATGGTTACACAGAGTGGAGACAGGATTATGACAAGAAGAATGATGAAGCCAAGAAATTTGAATTGGCCAATTCTGATTTGTTTATTAAAGCTGCTCAAAACACACAGCAAACTCAAGGTGTAAAAAGGGAACAAGAGGACCAGTTAAAGAAGAAGAAAGGTATGTAGTATTGTATATGAATAGGTCATTAAAGAACTTGGGTTTTTTGTATGTTGTGTTTAAAAGTATTAGTCTACAGTTCAAGCTCAATTAGTTTAATTCCTCATGAGCTTCCTCAAAGATTTAAAGTACATAATCAGGTCTCCTTTGTTTATTTTATTTCCCCTTTATTTGATAAGTGCTAAATTGTGTTATTTTATGTAATTTAAGAGCTTTTGTAATTTAAGACTTTAAGGCCAGGTTTTTTCAAACAATTGAAAAAAACGAAAAAAAAATTTTTTTTCAAAAATTGTTAGAAGATACTCTTAAAAAAGTATAGAATTAGTCCCGAAGTCCTGTGTGAACTTGAAGCAAGTAGAGAACAGGAAAGAGTGGAGAGCTCCAAGTAGTTAACCTGTCTGTTCACACAGGCCAGGAGATGGCAGTTGTTTACTTTAATGGACTTTTCTTTTTTTTTCTAACTTAATCACTTGTGTTCTGAAACTATTGCACTTATCAAGATGAAGCAAACAGCATTTTACTCTTTAGATGTCTCTCTATGGTTGATACTACAATCAAAAATATTAGTTGCTATTTAAAACACTTATAAACAGTTAAAAGTGCCAAAATGTTTGAGCAATTCAAAGGTCTGTCATAATCATTTTGTTTTTTTGCTTTAGGATGATTTGTATCCAAGAAAGGATGATACCCATTAACAAATTGGATGAGTTTGGGCAGCCATTTTCACATAGTTTAACATATGTACTTTTACCTGTAAAAAGTTTGATTTTCAAATATATTTGTCATCTCAAACTCCATCTAGCGTGAGAATATCTCTTCATTTGGGTTTAAATTAGCTGTTTGAATCATTGAAGATTAGTTCAGCTAATTATTTGGCATTATTTTATATATACTTTCACATGTATTGTAGTAATTCATATACTTAATTGTTTGCCCCAATTTAAGGCTGCCTTGTTTGATTGCTGTATAAAATCTGGTCTAACTTCATTGTTGTGTTTAATCAATTTATTTGTATATTCTCTATTTCCTTGTTTTTACATTTCATCTCATCTTCTTTTGTCTCTACTGTAATTGGATTGTTTCCTTTCTCTGTTGTCCCTGTTCCCTCCATCTTCCTTTCCAGCTCTTTCATCTTTTCTTAGAAGGCCAACATATCAGCAGCAACTTGGTTTTTTAACCATCTATCATCAAGGGCAGACATCTCAGAAGTGGCTTTAGAGATTTCCAAAGAGATGTTAAAAGAAACTTTGCTTCCTAGAGAAGAAACCTCGTTAGAGACTTTGTCTTCTAAAGAAGCGATGTCGCCGGAAACTTTGGCCACATCAGAAGAAACTGTCGAAATATAGTCAGAAACTTTGTTCTCTAATGATGCGATGTCACCAGAAACTTTGTTCTCTAATTTCGAAATCGACGAGATGACAGCATCTTCAAATATATAAGTTTCCGGATCTAAACCCTCTTCCTCCAAGCATTCTTTAGTCGTTGGACTAACTTAGCCTTTTTTCCAGTAGAAGCTAATTCTCTATCCTCGAGATATCTTCTTAAATTCGTAACTGTGAGCTCATAAATCGTAGTCATTTTCACAATTTATGTAAAATAGGTATCCCAATTCTGACACCAATGTTGTGTTTTTATTGAAATCTAATTTATTGTCTTTATTTATTATCAAAAGTTCTACATTTATAACACTTACAAGTTGTTTTAAAGTCTTTATATATATATATATATATATATATATATATATATATATATTTGTATATTTGTATTATTATAAACATATTTGTTTCTCCAGATTGTGTTGTTGAGACATCCTGCTTCTCTGTTTTTTTAAATTGTTTCGTAAATTATCCAAAACATTTTCATCTAAAGCCTATTCAAGTTCTAGTTAACATAACCTTCCTTTTACAAAAATCTATTTTACAATAACCAAATCAAGCAATTTTAATCCATATTGTGACTTGACTGTAAGTCAACTGGATCGTGACCTGGGCTGTATTCATATTAGGAATTATATAATACTAAAATATTTCAAATTTTTTAGTTAAGAGAAAGAAAACTTATGATAGTGATGATAGTACTGGAAATCCAGAATATAAGGATGAAAAAGTGTTTGACAGGTATGTATTAGCTTTCATCATTAGATATTTATGGACAAAATTAAAGAACACACTAAGAATGGCAACTTTAAATGTTCTAGCTATCTTATCTATGCTTTGAATTTCTCTACTTCTTGGCAAGAACATATTATAATTAGCATGCCTGTCACCAAAATAGTTTGTGATAGATTCTCTGTCCAAACTTTGGGTATCGCTTCATTGGGCATTGGGCAGTGTCTGACATTGTTTCCCTCTGCGACTTTTTTTGGTTCTTGTGCGTTTTTCACCTAATTTTTCCAAAAATTTTCAGCCGTCAGACAGGAAAATCGGAAAACAAGTTCTTAGAGACATTAAAGTAAGTGGTTTTTGCCGCTGTTAATGAAAGTATCCTGAAAAAATTAGCTGGTTATCTATGAATTTCGTCACAGTCGTTATCATCAAACAATTTTATTTTCGTGTTTTTCTTATAATTTGTAAATTATAATTAAACTTATTTAATTAAAGGAATACATTGTCTGACTTAATTTGTTTTCTGATTTTCTTGTCAGACGGGTGAAAATTAGAGGGAAAATGCCCCAAAACCAGAAAAAGTCGCAGAAGGAAGAGAGTATCGTATCATAAACATTTTTGCCGACAGGCACTCTAAATATTGTTATATTGTAAATGTGTTTAAAAATTGTTAATATAAGTATTTAAGATACTTGTCCGCGATCTGATGCATCACATACGTGTTTTAATGTTTATGTACTTGGGCTTACTAGAAGAAAAAAGAATCGCCACAAAATTTTATCCATGCAAGACGAAGTATAGGCATGATCTGTGGTTTTTGAGCTATATGTAATTAATGAAGTTGTAGCCTTGTTCTTACCAAGAAAACAGTTCTTCTGCATAAGTTACTTAATTGGATGACTAAAACAAAGTGAATTTATTTCTCACTCAAATTCTCACTACTGATGACTCATAGTGTCACCAGTGGTATGATAAAAAATCTGTAGCTGTCTTCCTGAGTTTTTTTTTACTGTTTTTCAGTAGTTCCTACTCGTCTACAGATGTATGGCCTGTAACAGAATTCAGTTCGATATGTTCTTTGTTTGTTTGTTATTAGTTAATTTTTGTCCAACAAGATGCTAGTGAAAAAGGTCACAAATGCAGTTTCATTAATATTTTCTTCAAATAAGTCTTCCCTCATCTGTACTGTTGGGTATTTTATAAGCTCTTGAGAGTTTTAAAGTATACTTTAAGTTATTCTTTGCATATTTGTATAGCAATAAAATAATAAATTATTTTCTAGTGATGAAGATTCAGATGTCGAAATTAGTAAAGAACTGACTGGTGACAGGAAAAAAGTGTTTGACTTTTTCCAGTGCGCTACTATCAATGAATTGCAATTAATAAACACTTGTTCGAAAAAGAAAGCAGAAGCTATTATAGATTTACGACCGTTTGCTGACTGGAAAGATCTGGTAAGAAAACCTTACATATTTTTAAATCAACTAATTGATAAATAAATCTTCAACATCTACTGTTTGTTTTTCATTTTAACGAAAATTCACTTAATTTATTCGAAGAAAAACACTTTTTTAAAAGAATTACTTATCTTTTTAGAGGTCTTATTTGTTTGTACTTCTCCTGGATTATAGTTTGTGACAAGCAGAGCTTGTCTTTTTGATTTTTTATCTTACCTTTAATCTTTAAGTCACGATAACTTCAACTATGGTTTTATACAGTCTTCTTTTTTCGCTTCTATTCTATTTGTTTGATAAACACCTTGCTTTGTATTACTTAATGTGAACACTGAAATGACTGTAGCTGGTAATGGCTACAGCAGAGTGATAGATGAACACACTAAATGACCGAATTTGGTTCCTGTTCAAATTGGTAAGCAAGAGAAAGAGATCCTAGATAAGATGTTACAAATTTATAGATGGTGATAGATGTAGGTCAGACATGCATAAGACCGCGAGTGTGCATATGTAAATGTAATTTACTATTTGAGACAATTACACATTTCTTTTTTTTTTTAACAGTTTACAATATATTTAAGAGCCAAAAATATTGCTATTGATTCTGTAGAGTAAATATACCTTGTTATTTAATCGAGTTGTATTAAATATGTTGCCGTCAGGTGTACATTATTGTGAAGGTCAATGATAAAATTTTACTCATACTTTATATACAGTGGAACCTCGATTATCCGTCAGGGCACCTGACCAAGGGTATGACGGATAATCGAAAAGACGGTTAACAGAACATTAAAAAAAATTCATAGTATAACTCTCAAATTTTATTTGTATGTTTTATTTGACAATATAAGAGGGATTTATGTTAATACAGTCGAATCAATTTGATTTAAATTATTCCGAAATCTTTATTTGTTTTATTGTTACTTCACATTTTGCAACGGCTGAATTTCTTAATTGACGTAAAATCATTAAATCTACCTTATTCGCTTCTTCTTGCCGAGAATACCACTTGATGAATTGTTGTATGTGCGATGCAGCTCCTCTAGCTTCTTTACGCAAATCTTTGTGAGTTGTAATAGCATCATCAACATCCCACAATCAAAGTCGGCTTGAATCAGTTTCGTCCGCCTCTGTTGCCTTTTCAGCGATTTCATCGTCTGTCAGCAATCGATAGCCGTTTGCGTCCTAATCACAAATTAATCATCAACGAAAACAAAACAGTTGATTCAGCTATAACTTTATTTAAGAGGAGAGGAGCATTTTCATCTTAAGTCGATTCAAGCCATAATTTATTACAGGCTCTTTTCAGCGTAACTTCCGAAACTTCAGCACAAGCATCCACAGCATTGTCGACTGCGTGTTTTAAACTTATGCTTTCCATTCTGGCTAAGAATATTACTCTTCCATATCTAGGTTTTGAATAAATTTTTTCCTGTACCTATCTTCTTTTGAATGTATTAGTGACCGAATGATCCATTGGTTGTATCAATGATGTATTGGCAGGACTTCACGTTCACTCCGCAGTATACCGACTTTAGGATGGGCAGGTGCATTGTCCAAAATAAAAATCGTCTTTGGTGGAAATTTTTTTACAAACAAAATGAATTGATGACTAAATTTCTACTTATGTTGTCAATAAAAGTAATGTATGGACCTTTGTGACGTCCTCTCGTAGGAGTCACTATCCGGGTAGCTTTTGGACAGTCAGAGACAGAGTTCAAAATAAAAATAAAACTTTATTGTCAAGTACTATGAGGCCTATTTATTCAAATTAAGTTTGACCTTGTCGTATGAAGTTAGTCTTATCGGCGATCGAGTGTGTTTTCGGAATTTTACGTGAACGAAGTGTCGATTTAATAACAGCGGACGATAGGTACAAAGAAAAGAAAGGAACTCAACACGTCCCTTAAGTGATTCGGGTTAATAGGACACTCCTCGACAGTCTCAACACGACTGCTTCGGAGTACGGGTAATGGAGAGCTCAACACGCTCTCCGGTTCGGGTACGGCGGTATGGGACGAAACAACTTGTGAACTCAACACGTCCACAAGCCGGGGTAGGGAAGAAGAGAACCTTCAGTCAACACCTGACGATTCTGCCTCTATGAGGAAATAATGCGGTTTATATAGCAAAGTTTTGCCCTTTCTACTGTCGATACACTCCTACTTCATGGGTTGGTTCGCGCGCACGCTGGTTTAACGATGATGGCTTGGACTCATCGTTACACCTTGACGGTTAACAGAGATGACGGTTAATAGAAAGACGGATAATCGAGGTTCCACTGTACTTGTATTTTATTAACAAACTAGAATGTGGCCCGATTGTAATGCATCTATTGTTATGTTTTTATTAATTCTAATTTATCGTTCTTATTATTTATCAAAGGTTCTATATTTATAACACTTACAACTTAATTTAAAGTTTATTTATAATAATTTATCTTACAATAATAATTTATTAATACGTTCGTTACATTTCAAAATACCCGTCGCGATCTTCTTTTCTGACTGACTCTCTACAATGAAAATCCCGTTATATACCCATACAGCTGTTAGACTAGAAGGATGTCGACCCTTGGCGAAAATACTGGAAGGTTACGACCTGGTTTCTCATTCAATCTATTTCCGGAACGTTCGAATGGACCGGTTTTTTATTTATTACTTGGAATTTCTGCCAGCTAGTCGAAGGGTCGTATAATCTAGCACATATTAATGAATAAACAACATATTTACAGGTTTTTAATATGACTCATATTTTTTTACGTAACACTATACTAAAATTCTTTTGTTTTGTCACACCAAAAATGTTTAGATTTATTTTGATATTATGAATGAATGTGAAAATTGCAAAATAAAACGTTTTAAGACGCAGAAAACGGCACACTACAAATAAGCTATAGTATTCGGTCTTCGTTCTAATAGTCATCATCGTTTCTTCACGCGTGGTAACAAATACAAACTGATTGATTTTTTCTATCTTAATATATTCGTTATTTCCTCCCCGTTCATTTGCTAACTCGCATGTTAGGATTTGATCAGTTGTTTATTTTTTACTCAACCAGAGACCTTCTTTAAATTAATAAATCAAAATTTGTCTTATAGTAAATTTATTTTTATCCTTATACCCTATGATATCTCGTATGTCGCTATACTTTAATTAATAATGAAGATACTGTGAGTGTCCTTTTAATAGTTGCTTGTTTTTTTTATATCCTAATACATTCATTATATCCTTCTCTTTTATTTGCTATGTCGCATGTTAATGTTCAATCAGTTATTTTGTACTCAGCCAGGGGCCTTTTTGTCAAAAACCTCAGCCAGGAGCCTTCAAGTCAAAAAAACAAAATTTGTCTTAAAGTAAATCTGTTTTTATCCATAACGTCCTCTGATAGCTTGTCTGTCGCTATATGTTCATTAACAACGAAGATGCTGTGCCCTTTTGATAGCGCCTTGTTTATTGTTTTTATTTTAATATATATTTTATATATTCTTCTCTTTCATTTGCTATGTCGCATGTAAGGATTTGATCAGCTGTTTATTTTGTACTCAGTCAGAGGCCTTCTTCACGTCAACAAAGCAAATTTACCTTATAGTGTTACTATCATCATTCATACTGTCATGTGATATTTCGTATGCCACTATATGTTCATTAATAGTGATGATAAGGTGTAGTGCCCTTTTGGTAGTCGCCTTGTTTGTTTTTTCTATCTGAATATAATCCTTATTCCTTGAATCCGACCAATAACCACAGATATATGATGTAATGCCGGCTCTGGGTTTTTCCCTACCACTACCAGATGTAAAACATTGTACCTGGTCAGCCATTTTTTTATTATGTAGTTTTTTGTAAACAAACAGGTTAGGTTAGTAATATAAATAATAATAAAATCCATGAAAACAGTAATTAAGATAAAAAATACCAAAGAAAGTATAGTTATTGAAAAAAAAAGAAATACAAAAGTAAAGAAAAAGATAAAAGGAAAATTTGCAATTAGCAAATCATTTTTTTTAATTGATTATATTATTGATACCTGTACGAAAAGGAACATCGAAGCGGTGTTGTTATGTAGTATGTAAGAGGAAAAATATTTATTTAATAAATATTTCTTTATAATAAACCAGTGACATATGGCGTATAATATATATTATTAAAATTAGTAGTAGTTTTTGTGATTAGGTGGCGCTGGGGTTTTTGTAACAGAAAGACAGACAGAATAAGCAAATTATAATATTGATTCCCAGATCTTAATTGCCACATCTCGTATATATTTGTGTGTTTGAATTAAATTGACTCAGACACTCTTATAGGGCATCAGAAGTGCGAGAAGAAGAAATAAAATAATTTACATATTAAATAACAAGAAAGGCACTTACAACATTTAATGCGAATTTACTCCAGTTTCATTGTATCTCAAAACGACTTTTTGAACCAGCATGTATTATACAGATTTTATTTCAGGTAACGAAAATAGAGAACAGCAAGAACTTGGGCGGTGATTTACTCAATAACGGTCAAGAAGTGATTACCACTCGAAATAACATTAAGAATTTAATGAAGAAATGTACAAATCTGGCACAGCAATTAGAGAGAGCTGTGGCTGCAGGGGCTGGCGTTAAGGAGCAGCCTAGTATATTATCCTCGTCGTAAGTATATATAGAATTAGAGTATGCAGTTAAATTTTGCTCAAAACTTTTTTTAACAAGTTTGAGTAATGTGATAAGTGAAAATTAGAATAAAATGGAAATACCTTATTTTGTGTTGCTAATAATATATTCTTATCATGGAAATGACACTTTTAAGATCAATCGTTGTTCATTTTCGACATATATTTCTAAACATAAATAAAAACAATGTAATATTTCTTTCCAAGGTCTTTTTTCACCCATTTCTAATATATGTACTAGATAAGGACAAAAGTGATTATTTCTTAAAATATCCACAAGGAAAATAAATTCCTGCAGCTGGCTGTATACCATGTATCTCAAAAAGAGGTTTAAATCTTTGTAAGTAGGTATATTTAAAAAAATACTTAAAAGTGTTACATCAAAATAAACGTTTTCAAAGTAATAATTCCATCATCAGGATGAAAGCCTAAAATAAGTATGAACCATTTAATTAAAGCAAACGTGATTGAAATGTTGACCAAGGTTAGAAAAGCAAAATGGTTATACTTACAGGTTAACATGCCTGAGCCACCAAAATATTAGGGTAAAACCCTTTACAGTAATTAAAGTTACCAAAGAATGTGCATATTGTTGTTAAAAATGAATGATGTGTAATATTTTATTAGATTTTACTTCAGGCAACATATAACCATGCCTTACGTGAGTACCAGCGTCCAGAGAGTAGACCTCTTCAAACCGACTTCAGCTGGTAACTGATTGACAAGATACCTATGAACGGTGTCGAAAACAAAATGTCAATGAACCATGGAACAGTGTTAGTTATACATAATATTACTGCAGCCAACCGATTCAAAAGCTTTAGTGATGTTAAAAATGATAACAGCAATCCAAGTGTTGGGATTTAAAAAGTTTTTTTATTATTGAACTTTGGATATGAAAGATGTAAAATTACCAATGGAGGTAAAGGTCATGTTTAAGAGAATGACGTATGCATTAGGCAGCCTATGTTACTCTTTGTCGTATGGAGTGTGGTCTAAAAGGTGTATTTGTGACCGATTAGTTTATATATATATATATATATATATATATATATATATATATATATATATATATATATATATATATATATATATATATATATATGATATTGTTATTTATGTTGATCACATCTAGGACAAGGTAAAATTGAATTGTACATATTTGTAGCTAATATTAGACCTCATTTTTAAATGAAATTGTTTATAACTGCTCGTATGGTAAAAGGCTTATATAAGTGGGTCCAATAAACTGACTAAAGGTTAAAAATCTTCCGGCTGAAAAAATTAAAATTATAACCCATGGGATTAAATTTAAAATGAGAAGGCTGAGCTCCTCAGAGACCGGAAAAGAATAAAAGTACAGGAAATGGCTAAAGAGGGGGGGTTTAATGAAAAATAAGTGAATAAATCAACAAATTAGAGATAACAGAGGTCCCTCATGCTAAAAGCATCTAGCACCCTGAGCAAAATCTATTTTGGTTACATTAAATTCGGTTTATAAAAAACATGAACTTGATGGATGAGTGTGCTGTAATAAGTTGTTGACTAAAAGAGGGGAGCAGTGGTTGAATAAGGATTTTTTTATAATCAATAATTGGGAAGGTGGGAAGGAAGAGCGAGCAATATGAACCTGTGTCTGAGAAAGGAAAATAGTGAATTAATAGGGTTTTATAAATATACCTACTTACAAAGATTTAAACCTCTATTTCTTAAAATAACAATTAACATGTTGCATCATCCAAATATATTCGTATAGTTAGAAATCATATACATGTACAGCTATTTAATTGGTTGGCATTTATCACACCTAGACCCTAACCAATCGAATGGTGCGCATATTCGAATAAGAAACTGTCGTTCTGTGAACGAACGACATCTTAATGATGTGTAACAGTGAATTGTTACAGTCTTCCGTATAATTGTCCAGAACAGGCATGGTCATTTTAACCTGAAAAAATGTATTTGTACTTACCTATATATTTTTAAAACATTTATTGTATTTTTATTCTTCCTCTACCTACTTTCGTCTATAAGCATAGATGCCTGTTTATCCTTCGGGTAATTCCTCTGTTCCGAAGATTGTCTTATCATGGTTTTCTTGGTTTTCCCGTTAATCGTCTTTCACAAGGCGGGGTCTCCAATAAACGCCGCGTATAGTGTTACACGATACGGCGCGCTTGTATGCTTTATACAATAAATAATGGATGCAGTCTCTTATTGTACGCTAAACACAGTATGCAATTGCTGTAAAATAATAAAGACTCGACGTACGGCGTTTATTGGAGACCACCGCTAAAAATGTACTGTATTGCACATTTGTGTTTAAATTTGCATATGTGTAGTTCACTTTTATCGGAATAGTTATTACATTACATCCTGAAGTCATCTACGAGTATTGTCTCTAGTTGTGTGTATACTTTGGTCCTTCGAATAGGATTTTTTCGATATTTTATTTAATATAAAACACAATACACTAAATAATTCCTAATGCCTTACATTTTGTGTATTTTCCAGTCTAAAACTGACAAGTTATCAAATGGTAGGCTTGAATTGGTTAGCGGTGTTGTATTCTCAGGGCGTCAACGGCATTTTGGCTGACGAAATGGGACTGGGAAAAACGGTACAAATTATAGCGTTCCTCGCCCACTTGAAGGAGACTGGAGCCGCGTCCAGTACCCACCTGGTTATAGTGCCTTCGTCAACACTAGGTAAGTCTGTAATTAGTATGAATTTTATTAAATTTTTGACGATTACAATTTTTATTAAATTTTTGACGAATACAATGATTTTGATATATAACTCGCCTATTGAGGTGGTTGACGTCTAAAATGGATTTTTTGGTTGTTAATAAAATTAAGTTATCTCGTGTTGATACTGCTACAGTTTTTTCCTTCAATTTACTGTGATTCACTCTTCCAATAGGTTGTCGAATGTATATCTGTTTTTTAATTCTCTTAGTTTGGCGATTAGTCTGACTTAAGTTACAATAAATATTTCGAGAGTTTTTCAAAAGAATTTTCTAGTTGTACATCCTCTCTCTTTACTTTGTAAATTCTAATTTAATTCTAATTTTGACTTCATCATCTTTGTCAATACATATAGCTTACAGCTTGCATTTTATGACGAATTTCCCATAACGTATAATTGGACTAGTGGATATGACTAGTGGACATAGAGTGAATATGTGCCCCTCCAAATATAACTTTGGCAGGACCCTGGTCTAACTGGCCTTTCGGCATACGACCTTTAGCGACTCCACTGTCCCTACGAGTCCGACACCAAATGAAGGTGGCACGATGCTGAAACATCGTGAGGCTCCACCTTCCTCGTAGTACCTGTGTTGCGGGTACGTCACCCGTCCGGAGATCCCCCCAGGGGGCGGAAAGATGACGCAGGCGGAGGAATTCCTCCTCGCACGTAGACAGGTCGCCGCCTAGGATCACTCCTCTACTACTCTTAAATCATCCAAGTGGGTACGTGCCGAGACACCGACACCACTCTCGGTGGTGTAAGGCCGTGAGAGGTATATACAGGATCAGCTCGTTCATCCTCACCTGGCTCTTGAGAAATGAGAGTAGAGTGGTCCCACGAGAGACTCGTCTCGAATACTAGGAATGCAAACCGGTGACCGAGATGCCTAAGCATCCCGATTGCGTTTCTATAAACCCGACACCTCAAACGACGGCTCTCCACCTTTCATTACTTTCCCATTAGTCGCCTCTTACAACAGACAGGGTCTTCTGGCCTAGGCCGTATTCTTATCTCCGCAAGCCGAACGGAGGGATCCTTATGCAGAAGCCAAAGCAACTCCAACTGTCCTTTCATAATCAGTCGTTTATTTCTTCTCTTCTTCAGTGCCTTATCCGGTTCGGATGTTGGCGATCATCAAGGCTATCATCATTTTGTTGATGAGTTGAAGAATTTGATATTTTTCTTCGTTCCGCATCACGTGCTCGAGGTACTCAAGCTTACGTTGTTTTACTAAATTAAGCACTTCTTATTCTTTTGTTATGCGCCGTAGGACCTCAACGTTTGTGACATGGTCCACATACGATCTTTTTAGTATCCTCCAGTAGATCCACATCTCGAAGGCTTCAATTCGCTTTTCAGTAGCTTGCGTCAGTGTCCAGGCTTCAACTCCATATAGTAACACAAGAAGAATGTATCCCTCACTATCCGCATCTTGATTACCAAACTGAGGTCACTGCAGCACCGCAAGGATCTCAACTTGTTAAATGTATACCGTGCCATTTCAATGCTGGATCTAATCTCTTGAGCGTAGTCCCATTGTGAGTTGAGGGTAGTTCCGAGGTAAGTGAATCTGTCGACTTTCTGGATCTCTTCGCTACCTGCCATTAGTGCCCGGGATCTAAATTTCCACGGTTGACTGGCTGGTTGCTATCGGCGTAGCGTATATTATTGATGTATTCACCGTTCACTCGGATTCCCATCTCTAGGTTTGTGAGGCTACAGTAAAAATTTCCTTAGAGTATATATTAAAAAGAGTCGGCGAGAGCACACAGCCTTGCCTTACTCCTCGCATGATCTTCACTTGGTCGGTCAGCTGGTCTTCGACCTTGACTTGAGCACGCTGGTTCCAGTACACATTCATGATGATCCGAATGTCTTTCTCATCCAATTCTACTCTTTGTAGGTCGGTGACCATCTTCTGGTTTTGACAACGGTTAAATGCCTTGGCGTAGTCAATAAAACAAATATAGACATCTCAACTGACAGCGCGGCATCTCTGAAGTAGGCCTTGTAAGGTGAAAAGTGCTTCACGTGTACTCGTGGTATTGCGGAATTCAAATTGCATTTCACCGACATTTTCTTCGCGTTTCTTGTAAATTCTGGCATGTCTATAGTATCAGAAGGCTGATAATTCGGAAATCTGCGCACGTTTTCAGAGATCTTTTTTTGGTAGTATTACAAATGTTGACAATAGCCATTCCTCTGAGATATTACCTGAATCGTATATGACGTTAAACAGTTCAGTGAACTCCTTCGTGCTCACGTCACTCATCACCTTAATAAGTTCAACGGGTATTTCGTCCGGACCTATGGCCTTACCATTCTTATGACTGTTTTAAGCCAGTACATTGATGAAGGTTTCGGAGCCATGCGTATTTCTTTCTGCCAATTCCTCTTCTTCCATCGATCTTTCTTTTATCTGCTTCCTCTCATTATATGCCCCAGATATTCGGGTTTTCTCTTTTTTATCATCTTGATTAAGTCACCTTCACCTTGACCTACTCTTTTCAAGACTTCTCTGTTTGATATGTGTTGGAACCCATGATATTCTGAGCATTCTACGATATAACTACATGCTTCTCTTGCAATTTCTATACGAGTTTTAATTTCTTCATCCGGATTTAGTGTCTCGTTTATCCGACATCCTAGATATTTAAAATGGTTAACTTTTGTTATCGGTTCATTATTGACAATTAGTTGTATAGCGCTGAGGTCTTGTTTACTAACCACAAGTAACTATGTCTTTGTTGTATTTATGCTTAGTCCGTTATTAGAGCATTCTCTAGTGACTCGATCTATAAGGATTTGAAGATCTTCCGATACTTTTAGAAATGATTGCGGTTTCATCTGCATATCTGATGTTATTAATAGTTTCTCCCCCGATTAGAACTCCACATTGCCCCTCCAAGGTTTTGTAAAAAATTATTTCTGAGTAAACGTTAAACAAAGTTGGGGACAACACACAACCCTGTCGTAACACCTCTTTGAATACAAATTTTGTCTGTTTCTTTGCCGTCTGCCAGAATAGAAGCTTCTTGATTCCAATATAGATGTTGTAAAAGTCTCATATCTTTATCATCTATTCCAATTATTTCTAAACAGCCTACCATGTTGAACCCTATCAAAGACCGTCTCAAAATCTATAAAACAGACGTAAATTGGTTTCTGTACTGTCCCATGATCGTTGAAGTAGTGTTAGCATTGAGAACAAAGCTTCCCTTGTTCCCAATCCCTCTCTAAAACCGAATTGTTTATTTCCCATTATGTCTTCATATTTCTGCTTGAGTAGTTATACTGTGATTATACTGGAACACTGGCAGTTTCGTATATATGGTTATAAATGTTTGTTAGTTCTGAGACATTGTCATCGTATAGAAGTTTGAGCCAGTCTGATGGTATTTGGTTCGGGCTTGGATATTTCCCATTTTTGCTTTGTTTGGTGGCTTTCTACTTCTGCTTTTAATATACTAGGACCAGTATTCGTATACTTTGTGGCGTTAATTGGTGGCCTCGTATCCAGGAAGAGTTCTTTTATGTAGTTGGTCCATTCTTCCTTTTTTTCGTTTAAGTCGAGAATGACTGCCTAATGTCATGTCCTCAGTTGATCCGCGGGTTCTTATTTAGCTATGCCTTATTCGTACCGGTCTTGCATATCTGCAGGAACTTTCCCTATCAGCCGTTGGGACGCGCCGTGTCGGGGTTGAGGACTTCTCCGCCTAGTCTGTCTTACGCAAAGTACTGAAGGGCCCCTACTCAATTCAAAGCCCTTCCGTCACGCAAGTTGAGACCAGCCACGTTTATTTCTTGCATTTTCTATTTGACGGTCTCGTATTCTATCGATCTTTATCATTTTGTGCACATAAGTTTATTGATTTAGTTACCAGACCTAATCTGTTATGTTTGAGTTCATGTTTTATGACAAATTTTCTTTAACATATAATTGGGACTCTGGAACTTTACTATAAAGTGTAAGCGCCGTGGAATAAGAAAGTCCGATTGTTTGTTTCATAATCAGTCGTTTATTTGTTGCGTCTTATATTCATTAATTTCACATTCTGCTCACTTTTGACTTACCATCACCAATCTTCATTAATATGTAGGTATATTTTACCATTTTATTAATTTAGCTACCAGACCTACTCCTTCATGTTCTAGCTTATGTTTTATGACACATTTCCCATAATGCATAATTATGGCCGTAGATTTTTACTATAAAGTATAGAAGCTGAATATGAAAATCTTAACAAAGAGGCTAACACCTAAACTTGATTTCTATCAGCCCAAAGAACAGGCAGGCTTTAGGGCAGGATATGGCACAAATGACCATTTGCATACCATAAAGATCTTAATAGAAAAGTGCATTGAGTACAACCTACCACTGGTTCTTGCATTTGTCGATTACGAGAAGGCTTTTGATTCTGTAGAGTTTGAAACAATACTGGAAGCCCTAAATCAAAGCCGAATAGATTACAGGTACACGACACTAATCAAAAACATCTATCAGAACGCTACATCAAGTATACGACTGCACGAAGACACAGAAAAATTCAGCTTAGGTCGAGGAGTTAGACAAGGAGACAATATTTCACCAAAATTGTTCACGGCAGCTCTAGAGTCCATATTTAAGGGTACTCAATGGCAAGATATGGGCTTCAATATAGATGGAGAAAGATTAAATCACCTAAGGTTTGCAGATGATGTTGTATTAATCGCAGATAACTTACATGATACAGTTTCTATGATGCATTCGCTTAAAAGTCTGTCTGAAAGAGCAGGATTAAAGATAAACTTTGAGAAAACTAAAATTATAACAAATCTCGTAATGAGTGGAAATATAACTATTGACAATAATACCATACAACAAACAGACACTTACAAATATCTGGGACACGAAATCAAAATAAGCAGAGACAATCAAACACATGAAATACAGAGGCGAATAGGTCTAACATGGGCA